GTTGGGGCATCATGAATCAAGTCAGGGCTACCCTGGGGTCTACACACTGGTACTTGGTCCTGAGGCTAGCCCAACAATATAGGCAAAACCATCACATCCTCCCCTGTCTCTACACCTTTGAGCTACTTCTATGGCAACAGAGTTACCTTTGGTAAATGCCAGTATAACCACCTCATTACCAGCTCCCCCTCTATAGCCCCTTTACACATTCCCCTTTCGGAAATCTGGCCCCTGCCCACCTGTCCTAACTCAGTTCCAAGCACCACCTCAAGGCCCCAGCCCTCAGCTGTCCCTACCTGGCATCTTGTCTCTTACTCTTCCTTCATCCCTCTCTTGCTTTCCAGGAATCTTGGAACGAATTCACAAATACAAGCCCCAGAGAACCTGTGTGAGTTCCCAACCCACTTTCCCTAACATGGGTCAGGAAAAGAAACCCAACCTTGAGTCCCTCATCCCCGCCTGACCCTGTGTACCCCTCTCCTTGGCTCCCAGATCTTTCTGTGCTCCATCTGTGTCCCCATACACAACAGGACCCTGGACACTGACTGAGCTAAGTCCAGTAGGCTCCCTTGACTTTCTCTGCATGTATGACCAAGTAATAAACAAGTAATCCACTAGCTCTGTGCCTCAGTTTCTCCTTTGTAATTTAACAGCACGGATTAGACTAAACCACAAGAATGGGTTTCAGGGTTATCCATGGACTTCTAAAACTGAATGCAAACCTGAGTATGTCTGCACACGGTTGAGGGTCACGAGATAATTGACAAGCGCCAACTATGACTTATCTGAGTTAGAACACCATAGTTCTCAGATCTGTCCCCAGAAAAACATCCACAGGATCTGAGCAGGGTCCCCCATTTACAGTCAGGGAGTTGTCTCTCTGCAGGCAGTGCCTATGATCCTGAAGACCAAGCAAAACCACTACCTCCCCTCATCTTTAACCCCAGCCTTCCCATTGGATGTCTAGGATCCTGGAGCTTATAATTCCCTTCCTCCTAATGCAGACCCTGGACTTCTGTGAGCCCCCCCCCCCAGATCACCTACAAGGCCCTGAAAATTACCTCATCTCCTCTGCCCACTCCCCCTAGGTCCCAAGAGCTCCCTGGAAGATGAGAGGATGATGCCTGTACCTGGTGGGGCCACAGTAGGTGGGAAGGAATGTCAGACCCTTAAGATTAACACCTCCGTCGGGGAGCTGGAGTTGTGTGGTCAGTGTCTAATGCAGTCTCCCTGGTCAGCGGTCAGTGAGCAGGGTGTGTCCTACAGCCAGTGCTGGCTTCAGCTGACAAGAATCACTCTCGCCTTCTCCGTGGGTCAGCCTTATTTCGGGCTGCAACAGGAGCCGGGGCCAGATGCGAAAAGCACTGGGCTCTGGGGAAGACAGGTGTCCCGGCAGCAGGCCCTTGCAAACAGAAGGGCTTGCACCCCCTGGCGCGGTCACATTCGAACTCTGGGGATAGGCTGCCTTCACTGGATCTTGGTAACAGCTGTATCCCTAGTATCTAGAGTAATGCCTAATAGAAATTCAACAAATGTTCGCTGCATAAATGAAGTAGGGATGGGCAGAGGAGTAAGTGAACAAATTCCCCACTATTTTTTCTTGGCTTTTCCTTTCTCCTTCCCTCCCTTCCTCCTCTCCCTCCCTCTTTCCTTCTCTCCTTTCCTCCCTCTGGCCTGCCTTCCCTCCCTTTCTCTTTCTCATCCTCCCTACTATCTTCTCATATTCTCTGAGTCTCTATCCGTGGACTAAAAATAAATATGCCCGGACTCTATCTCCAAGGAGCTCAGCTAGCCCAGACTTGACCAGTAAAGCAGCCTTTGTGCTATCATCTCTCTACATTGCTCGGAAAGAGCTCAAGGAGCAGGGAACATGGTGCCAGCTCGGCGTGAAGCCTAGGAAGTCCTCCCAGAGGAAGACGCATTGGCACTGGATCTTGGAGGATGCAGGATTTGTGGGAGCCCACCAGGCAGAGGTGACCTGCAGGTGGAGGACAGATCTCTTGCAAAGACTGTGGAGGGTTTGGCAAATAGGAGCTGAGGGTGGTGCTGGGAGTTGAGGCCAGACAAGTGGGAAGAGGCCAGATTTCCAAAGGGAACTTGTGTTGCAAAGGGCTGATGAGGAGATTAAGCTGGCAGAAGGTGGTGGTCAAATTGACATTTCCCAGAGATAGCTGCTGTACACATACAGGGCTGAAAGGGGCCAGGCTAGAGGCAGGGAGATTGTGTGGTAGCCAAAGAGAGATGGAGGGTAACTGACTTAGGGTGGAGACAGAAGCAGTGGGGAGGAGGAGAGGTTAATGAAGGGCACTTGAATAACGCCCGCATCTTGGAGATGGTCTGGAAATGTGAGGTGTGGGAAGGAAGGAGCAGGTGGGGGTGAGGTCGGATGGTGAGCTCATTCCGTCAAGGATGAATTAGCTTAAGGTACTGAGTGCTGGACAGCAGGCGGTTACATACTGACTGCTTTCAGGATAGGTTCCAGCAGAAGTTATGACTTGTGAAAGGCACACAAGTCAATCCCAGGGAAGGGTGGGCACACAACAGGGTGGCGAGCACCTGAGTCCATCAGTGCAGATGGCCCCAGTGGCCTTTCTGACACCCATGTGGGGCAGCATCCTGGGCTCTGCTCTGAATGCAGCTTTCTGCCCCTTGGGTTTCTGGGTCCAGTCTCTGCTGGGCCTGAATCTACAGGGTAGGGCTAAGGGATGGCCTCATCTAAAAGTAGGAACACAATCACTCTTTCTGAACCAAGGTTGACCCATGGAAACTGGGTCCTTGATGACCCTGGTCTCACTATAGTTGCCTAAACTCACATGGAACCTCCCCCTGGAGACTCTTGTCCCCACCCTGGAATCCTGAGTTCAATGAAGAAGTAGTAGCAGAGCGCTGGACCCTGCCCGAGGTTGGCTCTGCCCACTCCAGCCACAGCATTCTGTAGCACCACCACTCCGAGCCACTACTTAGATCAACTCTCCCCTCACTCAAATGGGGAAACCGAGACATGGGGAAGGGGTGGTGTACTCAGATCCACCCAGCTAATCAATGACAGAATCTAGGTTTCAATTCAAGGATGCCTATGATCCCAGGTTTTTCCAGCTGTTCTTATGGTTTCCAAAATCCAAGACCATGTGGCTCAGATATTCTGTGGACTGATGTATGATTGGGAAGAAGAAAAAGGCTTCCTGAAAGGCAAAAATGACACAGGAGGCAGAAGAATGAAGAAAGCATTTATTGTTCTGAATTCTACAAGAGGCATGAGGCAGGATACAGGCAAGCTCTAGTGTGTTAGAGACCATAAGGGAGAAGGCAGTCACCATGGCAGAACAGCAGAAACAGAACTGTAGTTTCTCAAAGCTGCCTCCTGCTGGTTGTCTGAGGAAATGCAGGTAGAAGCTGATCTATGCCACAGCATCAGCTGGATGTTTAATAGTGTCTTCTCTGGGAGGCATCCCTAGCCTGGGACTTTTTAGCTACAAAGGATGCTGCAGCAGGTAGGAGCTTTGGTAAATGTATTCATTTATTGACTAAGCTGAGTACACTCTCATCTTTCCAGTGGAGACAGGTTCCCAACCATGGCCATTACGAACCTCTCCTTTATCCCAATATACTCCATCCCAACTTTGACTTTATTCCACCCTGATCCCTAGCTTCCTCTAGGGAGTTCTAGATCATCCGGATGTGTGGGTAAATCTACTAATTACTCCAAATCACATCATCCCTTGCCTTTAACAACATCCTCCTGTTTTGTTTCACCTCATTGAACTACAGCACCTGAACCCCCAGGTTCTGAATTCTGAAGCTGATATTTTGAACCTCAATGGGTACCATCAGCCAACAATGAAAACCGCAAAACTCAGCCACATCCTTCCCAGTGTCATTCTTGGGGACTGGAATCAGAGCCACTGAAGTTTAGGGGACCAGCTCCTCAAGGCCACTGGGTATAGGCACAAGTTAGGCCAGAGTGAGATGTGAAGAAAATGAATATAGCAGTGCCCACTCTTCTGGGCTGAGGCCTGAAAGTGAAGGGAGGAGGCATTTACTTGGTGGCCAGAAACACAGGCCCATACTGGTATGGCCCCTTGACTTCCCACCCAGGTTTATTGTCTCTGAATTCAAACTCCATGGTCCTCCACCCTCAACCTCCCTTTCTAATACTATGGGATGCATTTCAGGATGAGAACCCTCCCCAATACCGGAGTCCCCTCTATGCATCCTGGCCATGGCTTACATATTCTGCAACGAGGACCTCTTTCCAATTTAAGGCCAGGTGGGGGGGCAGCCATGTAAGGCTCTCTTCTCTCCTCAGCTTTGAAAAACACCAGATTTCCCATGACCAGGACCAGAAGGGCAGAGGTCTGGGGCCCCTGAGACCCATAGCCCCAGAGAACCCAGCACTTCACACACTGTTCTGCCCTGGCCATAGGGAGACCCCGGACACCCTGCTCTGGGGCAACAAAGGCAGCAGGGCAGAGCCTGGGGAAACTCTTCCAGCTCCTTCTCCCCAGAGGGGCCCAGCAGGGCACCTTGAGCTTGCCTGGGAGATCTCACTAAAGGTCACCAGATAAAAATAGGGCTAGTCTGAGAAGGGATGGAAAACAGTTGCTCCTGCCTAGAACTTGGTGCCAGGAGCCGGTGGTCAAGCCAGGGCCTGGGCATGGGTCACGGCCTAGGTTCTTTTCAACACCATACTTTGGCAGGCTGCTGGAGAACGGAGTGAAGAAGGAGCACGCTGCAGGCCCAAGGGTGGGGGGCATGGCTGCCTTCTCCAAGGCACGAGTGTGTGAATAGAAGGGGAAAATGTCTGGAGATTGCAGCGGCCAGAGCTGAGGGTCAGAGACAGGAGGCTCTCACTCAGGGTCACACAAAGCAATGGCAGAACCAAGGGCTAGAACCCAAGTTTGAGTGTCTAGCTACCTGGCCCCCAGGCCCAGAGCTCTCCTTCTCTGATCCTTCTCTGGAGCTGTCCAATGAGGTCAGACCCTTTGGGGTCCCGGTGCTGGAGTTCCCCAAGCTTGGTGCCTCTTTGGGCTCAGCCCTTCCAGGGTGGGAAACTTTAGGTGGTGCAGGAGGCCTCGGTGGGGAGACTACCACGCTTGAACCTCAGGCTGCCATTCCAGCCTCGAGGACAGATATTGTAGCCGAGGATGCCAGGCGACTTTAGCCCGGAGTCCTCAGAGTCGAGGGACACGTCGGAGTCTGTGGGCGAGCGGCGGTAGGGAAAAGGCCTGGACGGCGTGGCCTGAGGACTCTGGGGACTAGCGCAGGACAGAGGCCCGACCTGTAGCGGGCTCCGCGGGATGGGGGCGAAGGCGGCTCCGCGGAAGGCGCCTGCGGGGCGAGCCGGCTGCGGAGAGCGCATGCGCGGCGGCGGCCCCCGCGGCGGGGAAAAGGGCCGCAGGGGCTCGGCGGCCGCTGGCCGCGGGGAGGCGCTCTTGCGCCGGGCCGCGTTGATGATGTTGCGCGCCAGAAGCGCCTGCAACTGGCGGCTCGGGGGCCGCGCTTCGGCCTCCGGTCGCAGCGGGGAGACCGAGCGCTCGCTCCACGAGGGGGACATTGGTGGCGGCGGCGGCAGCGGCGGGGGGCTGCTCATGCTGCTCCGGTGACCCGGCTCCCACGGTCCCGGGCTCACCCAGCCGTCCAGGCTGCTGGGGGGCCGGGAAGCGCCCGGCGTCCAGGGCGGGGACGTGGGCAGGCTCTCGGGGCGGTCCTGGGGAGAGAGCAGAGAGGGCGAGGGGAAGGTTTAGTGCCAGGTCCTCCGAGTCAGGGTTTTCGAAAAGATCGAGTACGGTTGTCCATCATTCGGAGATCGGAAAGGTACCCAACAAAGTCAGGTAGTAGTGCCTGAAGTAAAAACACGGATGGTTCAACTCAATGCAGAAGTTTTAAAAGCCTTTGCTATCTGGGGTCAGCCCTCCTTGCTTTGGACACAGGTTCCCTCACTTGGTGGAAGGGAATGGGCAAGCAATCGTCTAGCCCTTTAGCCTTCAGCTTCCTCTCTATAATGGGGTGTCCAGGAAGTCGCGAGGAAAGACCAGCTCATATGAAGGGACATTGCGTGCATTAGCACGTTCCTCGGAGGGAATTACTAAACAGAAACTACCGTAAGTAGAGATGGAAAAGACACAGCAGGCTAAGGAATGGGGCTGGTAGGCACAATGCACACAGCCACAGGGGGTGAGGACAAGTCCTTTTAAATGACTATAGTCTATGTATGTTTAGTTTTGAACCATACAACCGTATGGTTTTAGCTACTCAAAAAATATAACTACCGCTATTAAGATTGGACCTCATGAATCCTTTCAGCCCTTATGTTTCAAAGTTACCTCCTCACTTTATTTTCTTGGGGGCCCAGCAGGAGTAAATTCCTACTGGCGGGCAGAGACACAAAAGGAAGCCAAGCCTCTCATCTCTGGACAGCGTTCTTCCCTGTCTGCGCTTCTTGCCAACGTGGGCAGGGAGACTGGTTCTGCGCAAAGCAGGTGGTGAAGGCATCTGCAGTGAAAAGCACTGCGCCGCTATGGTGGCAAATGCATTTCCCACCTATCTGAGTACTTATCCGTCTGCGTGTTTTTTCCTCGTCTGTCATCTCTCACGTCTTCCAGTTAGGTCAGACCGGTTAGGACGCTGGCATTATTGCATTCATTTCGCTAGGGATGAAAATGAAGCCCAGTGGTCTGTGTGTGTGTGTTTCAAAGGCTACACCATGCTTAAACAGTGTTAAGGGGATTGAAAGCGGAGGGTTTGGGAATCCAGGCTAAACACACACAACTTAAACTATCCAGCTGTTGACCCCTATTCCAGAAATAAGTAGCTCGCCTGGGCTTTTGGTTGAGTCCACGTTCACTAGCAATCATCCGTTCGTCCCAGTCCCAAGCTATCAGGTCCAGTCAGTGACTTCATCCCAATCAAAGCCTATAATCAATCACCCACAAGATCCATGCGTTCACCCAGTCAGCCATCTGCCAGTCACCCTTTCAACCAATGTAGAGAATGTAGTCCCTCCCAATCAAAAGGAAACGAGAGGCAGACGGTATAAACTGTCCAATCACACGGCAGCAGTTGCTAGAAGAGTCCAGCCTCTGTGTCCTTTCACTAAAAAGCACCGTTAAGAAGAGCCAGAGAGGACCGATTGGAGGGATATAACGCTACAGTGACCTGTGGAGGCTTTTCCAGGATAGCCAATCTCATCGAGGGAGCAACTCAAGGCTCAGCACCAGGCCTCCTCCCCTCTTTATTCCCGGGGTCAGGGTTCTATGTGTATAAAAAAGCCAGAGTCCCCGAGAACTGTTCTCTGTGTGTGACTCGTCGCAGCTTGCAACCAGGTCACCTATGGGAGACATACCACAAGTTTATGGAGAACTTCAAGGGAGGTTCCTGCCCCTGGTGAGACAGGAAGGACTAGCGGCTGAGACCAATCTCAGAGCCAAAAGCCAATCAAGGGGGCTCAGGCATGTCCCATTATCTAATGAGTGCTACAGACCCTATCAAAAAAAAAAAAAAAAGGAGAAACCAATTTGGGCCGTAGAGCAGTGTGTTTCCTCTATCCTCAACACAGTTTGGGCTAGCCTCGGGAAAGAAGTGAAGGGAGGAAAACGCCCTCCTTTCCTAGACAGCCCATGGCTGACACCAACAGATGCAGACACACAGCAGGCACAGTAGCACACAGCACCCAAGGACACAACCTCACTCCCACGCACGCGCGCACACACACACACACACACACACACACAGCTGAGCGGTTCCACTTCACTTCCAGGACCCAATCAGAGCAGAGAGCCCCAGCCCGTGGCAGCAACAGCGCAGAAGAAAGAAGCAAGGCAGATAGATTTGAGACAGAGTGTATTGAGAACAGAAGACAGAACCAAGTGGCAAAGAGCTCAGCCCAGCGGCAAGAGCTACAGGACGGAGGACGGGCTCCTCCACTGCCACCCCCACTCTCACCCCAGGTACAAAAGAGCAGGGTCTCCTAGGGGCTCACTCTGTTCTGGGGAGACCTGAAGAAGCCAAGCTCACTCGCAGTTCCCACATGCCTCCCCCTCTCCCGCTTGGATGAGCTCCCTGACAAGGCACCCCTGTTCCCATGGAGACAAGCCCAAAGCTCAGGAAAACTGCGCACTCAGCCAGCGCACTCAGCCCAGCACGGTCACCGCCTCCACCACCCCTGCCTCTCTGGGATCCCAGAAATAGGGCTGGGAAAGAGGAAGTGGGTGGTCCTAGCCCCAAGTCTTGGGAAGATTCCATCTAAATATGTCTTCTTGTGCCTGTATTCTCCACCCCCAAAGAAGACTAGTTCGGTGGAGGGAGGGGCTGTACCATATCCAAAGAGGGGCAGGGAATGGTGATCTCAGGCTACCTGACTCGACACCCTCTGTATGAATGGGGAAACTGAGGCCCAAAGTGAACATCCAGTCAGAACTCTCATCTGAGCCCAATCTTTTCCTCAAAGCTCTAGGGTCTACCCTGTCCCTCTCTTCTGAGCTACCGTGCCCTGGTCCAGCTGTCACCAGCTGATCCCAAGCTTAAGCTCGCCCTGTCCAGGCTTCTGACTGTGGCTTGCTGCAGTAGCTCATTCCACTGTACCTCACCAGGTCACTCTCATCAAAAGCTAACTCCTGTGTCCCTCAGCAACAGCCCATCCTTTCTACTTTTTTTCTGCATGACAGTCCCCTTGCCTCTGAGACCTTTATTCCACTACACCAGCCTAGTCTCTCAATCTTCAGCCATTACCACAACTAGAAGACCCTGTGTCCATGAGAAAACTAAGGTCCAGAAAGGAAAAGTGAATTGGCCAAAGTCACCCAGCAAATGGAAGGTACATGAGTCTAGAACATTCTTCCATTGCATCTCCCTGGGCCTGTGCTGTTGCACTGAGGTGGCTTGTTTTGATCAGGGAGACCTTGGCTGAGGTCACTATATGACTCAAGCAAGGGTCACTCTCCTAATGTCTGCATAGCCCCCTCTAAAGGACATTCTTCTCAGGGATACCCTGGGATGTCGCCTCACCCTAGAACAGTGAGGGCAAGGCAGTTGGAAACAGGTCTGAGGTCTGAGCCCAAAAGTTTCCCTCCCTGTGTAGAGTCAGGTCCTGGAGAGGGCATGGAGGCTGCAGAGTCTCAGAGAGCAGGAAGACAAGCATCAGAAAACAGTGATACGCTAAAGTCCACAGGCAGCAGAGGACTCAGGAGAGGAGGCATAGCCAGGCAAAGTTCTCTGAGGCAGTGGAGAGGAAATGTCCAGAAGGCAGAGGAGAAGAAACACCCTGTGGAGGTGAGAATCCAGAAGCAGGAAGCCAGATGCCAGGAGCCTGAGCCCTATGAGTAAGGCACAGCCAGAAGCCACTCTCTGTTCCAGAAGTCCCCACGAGGAGCCCTCTGGGCCTTCAGCCAGCAAGACACTGCCATCAGGGTCCATCCCTGAAGCTTGCAAGGCCAGGGAAAGACTGTTTAACAGGACCCTCTCAGGGTAGTCTTACTCTATGACCCTCCGCACCACCCAGACAAGGAGTCTACACCCCTTTGTCTACAGCTCGGAGAGAGGAGATGGTCCACCCACGGTTGCATAGCTAGCTGTTGGCAACAGCCAGACCTTGATCCATGGGTGCCTATCTTCTCGCTAAGCCCCGAACCACATCCTGCCACATCTTCTCTCTGACCCTCCGAGAAGGAGGCAAGACAGGCACTGGGATGCGTTACTTGAAGCAGAAAGAAGGCTTCCACACCTGGGCCTCGATTCCAGCATTCCGGGTGGAGAAGGAAGGCCTGGGGGCCTGCTTGGCTCGGGGAGACCAGGCCCTGGAGGGAGACACGGGCGAGATGTCACTGCTGTAGGTGGGGCTCACGGCAGTGGGCTGGAGGCTGTCCTGGACAGGGACAGTGTAGAGGCCTGGGGAGGAGCGGGAAGCCCGAGGCAGAGCAGGAGATGGCGGCAGGCCTGCCCTAGGCAGGTTGGGCACCAGGTCCAGGGAGCTAGGCTTGGCTGGAGAGGTGGCACGAGGTGAGACAGTGCGGGACGGAGTGCGTGGTGAGGTGGAGCGGGATGAGGTCTTGGGAGGTTCCTTGACGGGAGACAGAGCGTAGAGTGAAGGCCTCATCTGGTATGGCTGCTGCTTGGTAGGTTCTGGGCGCAGGACCCCATTCTCCGGCAGATAGCCGTGGTAGAGAGAGGCAGGCGGAGTCCGCGCTGGGCTTAGGGATGCCACTCGGAAGCCCCCAGGGGCATTAGTAGAATACTTCCAGGATGACGGCAGGGACATAGTAGGTGAAGGGCAGCGGGCCAATTCAGTGTGGCCTGCAGACTCTATGACGTATTTCTCCATCCGCGACTGGCGGCGGGCATAGAGCTCAGCTCCCTTCCCTGAGGCCTCTGAGAGGTTCTGGTTGGGTGTGGGTTTCGGCTTAGCCTTAATACGGGGTGACTTGAGGCAGGAGGCCCACTCAGGGACAGTCTCCTCAGCGGCTGCAGGGCTGACCCTGTCCCGAGCTATTGGTTCCTGCTGGAAATTGGAGGCCTCAGCTCCCAGGGCAAAGGGCTCATCTTCCATGCCCACCTCCCCATGGTCTCTCTGCCTCCGCTTCTCATCAGCTGTCTGCACTAGGTCCAGCAAGTCTGGATTCGGGGTCACCTTGGGCTTCTCCACGAAAGTGAACATTGATTTCCGGCTGCCTCGGCGGGCCATAGACTCTTCCAAAATGCCTGTCTTGTTGGCAGGGGCTACCTGGCTCTTCAGATGAGGTGGCTTGGGGTCAGAGCTGGGGTACAGAGTAGAATAAGAAGGAGGAGACCTAACCCGGGAAGCCACTGGGGCTGTTGACAAAGTCTCGGCATAGGTGGGGGGTGGGGTGAAGCTTCCTAAGGGGCGTCTCTCCAGGACTGGGCTTCGCTGCCCAACCAGCCTCCTTTCTACCATTGGGCTGCGGGACATCATGTGCCTTTGAGGCTGGGGACTCCTGTCCACCATGGAGGTAGTCGAGGGAGCCCAGGCCTTCTCTCCAAAATGTCGTCTTCCCATCATGGGGCTGTGTTCCACCTGGCTGGTACTCCCTGGTGACTGGATCCCAAAAGGCCGGGCCGTCCTGTTGACCACCGATGCGGGCTTGGCTAGCGTGAGATGCACTTCACTGTACACCTTGGTGGGCGTGGTGGGCGTGGTGACCGCTGCACGTCCGGACATCTCTTGCTCTGCTGACCCCACTAGGTGGCTAGGCTGCACGTCACTGAGCAGGGAGCTGGACATGAGATCTGCTGCTGGTGGCCCAAAGCTGGAGAGGGGAGTGACCTCTCTAGAGAAGGTGCTGGTGGCAGGGGATGGAGCTGACACCTTATCAATCAGCAGAATGCTGGATCTCACCTCCCCTGCTGGCCCCTGGGGCTGCCCATCGGCACATGGAGTGCTGGGCTTGGAATCGGGCGTGCCATTTGTGGGATACTGGGCCTCAGATGAATTCTGTTGGACAGGGGTGACAGCGGCTGGGGGATTCTGATTCACATCGGTGGTGGGCTGGTTGTGGTGGCTGTTGGACGCTGGTGTGGTGAGTGTAGCATTGGGCGAGGAGAGGTTCTGGTTGATGTCTGCAGCTGGACTGTGTGCCTCTGTTGTTGGAGGGTTTGGTGAGGACTGTTCAGCCTCTCGGCTCTGGGACAGGTGGAGCCCATTAGCGGTTAGCAGGGCTGCATTCTCCTTTAAATAAACCACCAGTGGTACTTCTTCTTCCTCACTGGCAACCTTCTCCAGATGCCGCAGGAGGCTGGCTTCCTCTGAGTAGCCTTCCATGATGTGGCCAGGGACCCCTCTGCTGGGGCTTCGGGGGCTGGGATGCTTTGGAGAGCCTGGCTTGGGTGGAGATGGAGGTCTCAGACTGAGCCCTGGGGCATGGCCTGTGGGGTTCGAAGGATGCCCTGCTGGGAGAGCCTCTTGACTATGCTTTGGTGGCTTCTGGCCACGGCTCTCCAAGGTGAACTCGTTCACCCTCTGCCGGCGCCTGTTGAAGAGCTGGACCCCTCGGGAGTTGGAGCTGGGAGGGGTGGTCAGCTGGGCTGCGATCTGCTGGCTCCACGCCTTGGCCTCCTTCAGATCCTTTTCAGTGAAGCTAGTGCTCCGGCCTAAGGCTGCAGAGAGTACACAGGCCTAGTTAGCAAATGGGTGTACAGTCACCACCAAGCCCTCCTACAGTCGACCATTTCTTTGAAATATGACCTTTGCCCGGTTTCCCAGAATCAGCTGTCATGAGGAGTCAAGGATGAAGCTGCTCAGATGTTCAGGACGGCCTGCCCATTCCACTGGGCGGCCCAGGAAGGTTGCCAAGACAGTGCTTCTCCAAACTGAGTCACCCCACTAACTACATCTCCCATGGTCCCCCTGACCACCAGCCACTCTCACCCCTTGAGAATGTTTCTCATCATCTCTGCTTCCCTTCTACACTAGAGAAGGGGAAGTGGAAGAAAGACAGGGCCAAGTAAGGCGCCTTACATGCCTCAAGTGCAGGGAACATCCTTTTCCCTGACAGTGCGCCCTCCCTGGAGGGGCCTTGCTGTCTCGGGTCTTATCTCTGCTTTTCCTCCCTGGCACTCAACTGCTCTTTGAAATTCAAGTGTTTGCACATCTCCTGATTCATCTTCTCCCCTCAAACACAGCTCTGAGGGCCTCACTTGATACGTTTTCCTTTCTGACTCCAACCCCGAGAACAGTGTTTGGTCTAAAGAGTCCCAAATGTGCAAAACAACCCCAAAATACTTTCCATATGCTTTTCTGGGGGTCTTTTACACTCTCAAATTCAGAGTAGGGCCATTTGCTTGATGGTTTATAGGAAGATGCTACAAAGATTTATTTTTTAAGGCACTTTATCATTGTGGGGAATCCTGTACCACTTTGCACGTGTGGAGGCAGAAGATAATAAGTGGAGTCGGGTCTCTTCGACTTTTACGTGGGTTCTGAGGCCCAAACTCCAGGCTTGCACAGCAAAATGCCTCTAACCTATTGAAGCATCTCACCTGCCCCTAAGACTTCTTTTTAAAAAATAGGTTAACACGCTAGGCATGGTGACGCACGCCTTTAATCCCAGCACTTGGGAGGCTGAGGCAGGTAGATTTCTGACCTAGGTTAGCCCGGTCTATGTAGTGAGTTCCAGGACAGCCAGGGCTACACAGAGAAACCTGTCTCTGTGTAGGTTTCTAGACAGAGAAAGGTTAACACATTCAAATAAAAAAGTAACCATGGCAGTGTCCCCACCCCTGATTATACCACATCAAATCAAGAATCCATTCTGCCAGTTTCTTCTATATCCTTCCACAAGCTTCCCTCATTTTTATAAAGAAAATTATTTAAAAGTCCATATATTCTAACATAAGTGAAATGTCAGTGGCGGTCACACTGACCCACTGTGTTCATTTATCTTGCTCTCCCAAGTGTACCGGGTGACAGTCACTGTGTGCCTGGACTGCAGAAGAGAACTTCTCTGAGAAAGTTCAGAGATTCCTGACAGATGCGTGGCCACACAGCTACAGGTGGCAAAGATGGTGTTCAAGGTCCTTCTGGGGGAAGAGGCAGTGGGAAATGGCAAAGACAGAGGTCACAGGTCGGACCCCTATTAAGCGAGGTCACCGTTTCTCTTTCTGTCCACAGTGCCCAGCTGGCATGCACTCGGTACTCAACACTGTTGAACAATGAATAAACCAAGCTGCCTGGACAGCTGAGTCACAGGCAGCTAGAGGGATCAGCCTAGGACCAGGGTCATAGCTTACCCGGTGGCTGAGAAAACTCCTTCCCGACTGTGGGAAGCTAATTAGTTCTTGAGGAATCTGACCCTGCCCTCCCTCCAAACTCATCCTAATTAGCCCTGGCCCTGACAGGCTGATGGGTCTCCAGGGACAGTCTTTCTAGGCATCTTGCCATCCTGGCTTGGAGTTCATGGACTCTTGAGAGGTGGAAGGGCCTAGATAGAGGAGACAGGTAATTCACCACTATCCCATTTTATAGATGGGGAAACTGAGACCCAGAGAGTATCCCAGGGCAAAGACCCCCTCCCTGCTATGCTGGAGTTAGCAGAGAAGTCCAAGGAGGCCAGGTCCAATTCATGCTTCATGGCTTTCTGGTTCCATCCTCCTGTCCATTCACCACACCTGTAGCTCTGCCATCACGCCACAATGACAGCACAGAGCCTGCCCCCGCTGTGGTATTCCTCTTCCTCCCCAGCTACCCACTCTGTAAAACATGAAGGGTTTAGCCAGACCATTCCCCTGGGACAACCGAAGATGAGGTTTCCACACACGGGGACATCTTAAGGGATGTGTGGACCATCCAGTGTCTGCTTCCTCTGCTCTGTTTGGAAACAGGTCCCCTGGCCCAAAGCCAAGTCCTTTGGCTGGGCTATCCCTATGATCTTGGCAAGCTCTTACCTCCTCCCAGAGTCAGGGGCTCCTTAGCTGAGAAACATTTGGGGACCACCCTGAGATCACAAGAACAAGGGGTCTGTCATCATCAAGTCCAGGGCAAAGACGGCTCATATTACCCCAGGAAGGACTGGCCACTGTGACCCCACTTGGCTCGTGGGGACAGACAGTATCTAATCTTTTTCCAGCAAAGCACATTTGTTGCATAGACCAGGGTCCTGAAGGACACATGTCAGGAGACTCTGGAGTTACGGAGAAGCACCACAGAGTCTCAGCAACTCAGAGGTGGCTGTCACAGCACAGTTCTCCACACAACCCTTGTATCCCTAAAGCTATACCCTTGTGTGTGCAAAACGTGTTTATATACTCAGTTGAAATGGGCTCATGACTCCCGTGGTGTGCCTCCCACTGGTACAGGCCTCTCAACCATAAATGCCTACAATGGCTTCCACGTTTGGGCGTGTTTCTGTGCACCACCACTACCACCAGCACCACCACCACACCACACTACCACACCAAACCACACCACACCACCACAACTACCACCACCATCACCACACCATACCACCATCATCACCACCACCATTACCATCACCACACCAGTGTACAGCTTTACTTTGCGGCCTGATATACCCTGCAGAGATTCACAGATGCGAACACATCCCATAGGACTCAGGATAAAGAACCCACCAATGTTGCTTACGACACACTTACAGCAGTTGCAGCGAACACTGATTAGGCACACACTACACACTACATGTACGGCTGGATTCCCACAGCAACCCTATAAGACACAAACTGCTATTGTGTGCTTTGTGTTGATGAGAAAACCCAAAGACCAGACCAGTGAGGCGAGCTGTCCAACATTACAGAGCTACCTTTATGGGCCCTTGTCACTATGGAGCACCACGTCCTAGCTGCAGAATCCCACGGTGGAAGGCAGATAGACAGTGATCCGGTGTTTGAACATCAAGGCCGCTCCGTGTCCCTGAACATTGCCACTCCCTTCTTCCTTTGCTGCTTCAGGACCAGGCCTGTGTCCCCCACAACCCTCCCCAGCCCCGTCTTCCAACATCAGTGTGAAAGGTCTTTGGAGAGAAGCTAGCTTGGGGGGCTGAGGAAAAGAAAGGATCACAAAGAGTGGGTGACTCAGGAGGCTGCTGACTTCCAGCCAGGCTCATCAGAGCTCGGCCTGCCCTGAATGGCCCTCCCCTCCTGTGAGTTTGGAGCTGCCCCTAAGCTCTGAGAGGAATGACAGAAGGGGCCAGAGGGGAATGACCTCCTAGCGGAGCTCTGCCCCCAAGGCCAGCCACAGTGACACAAAAAAGGAATTTGATGGGAGGTTTGGGGCCAACCCAGCCAATAAGCCTGGAAAGTTTTTGTCACCCTGCACAAACATGGGATGGGGTAGGGCAGGATTTGACCAACCAAAGGAACCCTGGAGTCCCTTGTTATAAGCTACATACCAACTAAAGTCACCCAGAGCAATGTCATCTCTGGCAATGGCAAACTTGTGTAAGATTTTGCTTCTTGCTTTTAGAGAGATCAGAGGTAAACCCCAGGCACAGAGACAAGCAGCCCCTACTGTAGCTGTGGCACAGGCCATGATACCCTTTCTTCTAGCCTAGGTCTCTGAAGGCCTATATAGATCTCTGGACAGCAGCCCTGAATACAGCCAGGCCTTCAGTAGAAGAAGGCTGGAGGGTAAAGGAAGAGGGTAAAGGAAGAGTCAGGTGAGATGGGGTAGAGCCAGAGAAAGGCTCAAAGACAGAGCATTGCCTTAGGGAGGTGGGGATGCCATGACATAGGCCTCGCATGACCTATGTCAGTGCTCCACGCTCATTGCTGTGTTCATCGATAAGGCAGAGACCCCAAACGATAACACTGTTGCCACTCCCGCTGTGTAGGTGACAGCCAGGCTCAGAGGTGCCCACCCAGCAGTGTCAAACAACTTTAAGTGGAAGGGCTGAGATTCAGAATCAGGAAGTCTGACTGGCTCTCTAGCTCAGAGCTTCAGTGGGAAGGGCATTAAGGAAGCTTCAGGGTTCCTGGAGGAGTCTGCAGACCCCCGTCTCCCCAGCCGTTCAGTGCCCCTCAGCTGCTTCCGATCACTGCTCCCTTTCAGGAGAAGCCGATGAACTTATTCTCACTAAGATAGAAACGAATGATAGGCTATGAAACGCGCTGGAGTAGGAAAGTCATAAGGCTAAGAGTCAGTAAACTCCTAGCTCGGCTTCTGCTCTAGCAGGAACAAGCCTCTCCCCAGCCCCTGGTCTTTATCCCCTCCTGTAGGCAGCTCCCCAAATCTGCCTATCACTTTGCCTGTCTGAACCAAAGGAAGGGATTTGGGGCAGGGGAAGAAAGGCCAGAGCAGAAGGTCAGGGCACTGAGAATTCAAGGAAATGTTTCTCCACACGACTGCCGTCAATGGGAGTGTCCAGGCAAGGCCAGTGGGTAGGATGGGAGCCAGAGGTGGGAAGAGAGGTTGGCGTGAGGCAGCCCATTGTAGCAGCCTGGGAGCCTTGGCAACAGGACGGGTAAACAGGCTGGATAAACTGCCCCCCTGGTGGGGTCAGGAAGGACCCAATGTCCCAGCCACAATACAACCTCTGGCTTGACTGGGGCAGGAAGATGAGGAGGTCTGAGTAATAACCTAGCCCCTTTGCCAGCCCAGCCTCACATCCTCCCCACACAGAGGGAAGTGACACAGACCCCGAAGG